ACCACTTGAGTAGTCGACGAAGCTAAATGCAGTAGAATAAAATAATGGACTGCTATGTGGTTAACACTGAATGCATATAGAATTCGGAGGCACTTGGAATACATGACTACAAAACAGAAAGTTGTGCGTTAAATCCGACTAAATTGCTTAATAATAACTGGTTACAGGATTTCATCATGATCTGACATTGGTTAGAGAAGCAACCATTGGAAAACCTGGTAGAATTATACTCTACCACAGTGCCCAAGTTTTATACTTATATCAATGAAGCCTGGGAGTACTCGACAGATTTTCTAATGGTTCTCTAACCGATGTCAGCTCATGATGAAATCCTGTAACCAATCAATCAAATCCCTACAAACCAATAATTTGAATATGAATAATAATTGATAAATATTTCAAGCAGCTGGTGAAATAAGACATTGTCCTAGTGTGGTGAGAGCTGTCTGCAAGTCAGAATTGTAGACAACAGTTTACGTCAGTCTTTACGTCCCAAATCGGGGTCGTGAGAAAAAAAAACAACATAGCTTAACCTCCGGGGAACCCACCAACCAATCACAGCAGACTTAACCTGTGCAAATACGATTCGCAGACACATATGGCTTAACTTTCTAAGAAACAGTCATGAGCAGTACAGAATAATCTTCAGCAAGAAAACAACCAGTCAGAAGACGTTGCTACCCCGCTGACAATAATGTGCATAAAAAGCTATAAATATCTCTTGATTTTCTCAAAAAACGGTCTGCTACCTGGCCCTTGTCTTTTGTTGTTACACTAGTACAATAAAAAACAGTACGTTCTTAAAGCAAAAGTTGTGTTGGTGGTATCTGTGTGTGATTTCCCATTCCAACAAACCGACAATGGTGGTCGACTTTTAATAAAAATGTATCTGTTTCCAAATAGTACTAGCTACACGTATAAAGAGAGGCCACCGACAAAAAGTTAACGATGGTCCAAAGTAGACCGGTTGCCTATAAGTCATCGATTTAGAGGACTGCATATTTTTCTGTGCAGATGTGTGCCTAAGAGTGAACACATGTAGAAAAGAAACAAACATTTGTCGATCCCTTGCTCCAATGAGGACATTAAGTCAGTACTTGAGTGTAGTCTGCTGTAGAAACAGCAATAGAGCCTGCTGATGACTTTTCTGCCGAAAGTTAGTTAGTGAAAAACAAGTGACATTTTGTAGCTTCCTCTAAAGTCTTCACTGCAAGAAGAATGATTCCAGCCAGCTTCGAACACAGTGAAAAGTGAAAGTCGTTGAAACGTTATAGCACAATCTAGTCCTACAACAGAAACTCAAAAAGGTGTTTGTCAGCTAATACTCTGTTGATTAGAGATGCCTCGTTATAAATTTCGAAACACTGATTAGTGAAAAAAATAATATTCTTGAAGTGGTCGATGGTGTCCAGCAGTCGAATTCACGAAGCACATGGGACTCGCCATCCAGATGTACCTACATTTTCCAGTGAGCAGTTATGTCCCCAATGAGGCTTGAACACAGTACCGGTTGTTATCCGCTAAACCATTTGGGCCCCAACAACCAGATAGTATTTATTTTTTACCAAGTTTTGATTTTCCTATTTACTGATCGGTCCGAAATATTTGACCTCTGTCTGCAAGTCGTCTCCTCATGCGGGTGCTTCGATGATGTCGGAAGATTAACTTGAAGTAATTTGAATTAACTAAGAAGGCTGCAGATACGCCTTGCTGATGAGTGCCAACTAGCACGAAGCCTAGGTCCAAGGCTTCCTGTCGATTGCCTCCAACTATCTAATATCATCAAACCAGTGTGCACCGTGATGGCGAGCTACCTAGAATGGTGGCCACATTGCAAAACCTGACTGGTAGAATTCATTCTGCACCAAAGAAAGGACTAGACACGTCACACTAGTTACTAGTGTCCAATGAAAAGAGGAGAGACTAGTTACTATGTGAGGAATGCTTTCGGTGGGACGTGGAACTTGCTAGATTTCCCAATTACTCATCACTTTTACTTGTTCATCTGATATTAAGTATCGACGCAGCAAAGATAACTGTCAATGAAATTCTGCATCAGCCTCGTGAAAGTGAATTTTGCAACACATGAATTTCAGACCATATAGAAGCACAGATTTGACATTACTTTTGAAGATCCGCACCTTGTTGCTCACAATGATTTCAGAGTGGTGTAGATCTATCTACCTTGCTTTTCCGATCCTGGCTATCTTCAACATTCTCATCTGTACCGTCAGTAGTCGACACGACAGTGTCTAGATAAATGGTGAAATGATATGCTATTTAGTTTCCCGATATTATTCGCATAACAGTTTATGTTTGAATAGTACCAGAGATTGTTTTTGACTTTTTCTTTGTATTTTTATCAAAAGGTGACCAACGTTTGGTACTTCAAGGCTGCGAAACATTACTTATTGTTTCAAGTGTGCCCTCAAAAGTGGGTGACACCACACGCTGGGAACAGCTTCGAGTGGAACGTGAGTAGGAAACCACCAGTCGGGAGTTCGACAATGATATGGAGGTGACTGTGAAGCCAGTTAAAAAAAAGACTACAGAGAGCAGAGAAAAGTGAAGATGTGCTGTTGAAGCCCTATGCTCCATTAGGAACGTAAAATGGTAATAATAATAATAACAATCATAGTTCAGATGAATAAGAAACAGTGTAATATACTACTAACCGGCGAATATGAGTAGTAGTTGGATGTCACTAACAACAACTAGTAGTACCTGTTGGCAAAATTGGAATAAGAAACAGATCTAAGATAAGAAAGTTTATTAGACACAAAGTTGTGAAAATATTTTCAGTCACTGTAAATATTCATCCCGGTTAAATATGTGTATACAAAAAAAACACTTCTTAATTAATTAATTGCACTAATGAATGAATATAAGGAGACAATAAATGAGACTGTAACAACATCTGTTAAGCAAGTTAGTAAATTACAACCATATGTATTGCCAACTTAACTGGAAGAGACTAAGAGCTTACAGATTTTCAGTACAATGATATTACGTGTTCTTCTGAGTCATGAAACATAAAATAATAGAAGTCAGACAAATTAATCAACTTTTTCTTAACAAGTTACCATAGAAAAAATTATAATTCCGTCTGAACACATTTTTTATTTTGCAGTTATTCAATGACAGCATGCACTGAGTTAAACTGAAAAACTGGAATCTGGAGTACGATTGCACAATGACAGTGAAATGGCAATGAAATCCAGGATGTGCATTTCGTCCTGTTTGGGGCTCGTCAACCAGGTGTACCTACATTCCCAGTGAGTCATGGTGTATCCACTAATACTTGAAACCATAATCTATCGTTTCAGAACTGATTGAGAGTCACCATGAACCAAAATAACTTCAGACTAACCCTTAGATATCGTCACAACGTCCGTACTATGAGCGGGCATATTATCAGAAACCAACAACCACGGTTCAAAATAATCAATCATGGGGAGATGTCAGATGGCCCAAAACAGGTAATAATCTTTACTTTAGAAAGTGGATGGGCGATTCCAGTATTTTACGAAAGTGATTGAATTGTGCCTATGATATGATGCGGTGAATCTTCACGTTTCTACCAAATTTTTCCCCAAATAGTATGGATTGCCAAATGTTTTTCTTTCTCAGCTACGAATAGCAACTAAATTATCCAACTGCAAGGTTTTAAAAGCTGGTCTATTCATGGTAAAAAAGAAATACTGGCAATTTATTCCCTTCAGCAGTAAGCAGTTAAACAGTCTCTTTCTAAAAATAGTGCGTCGGTCGTTCAGAGTTAGAATGCTCACCAACCAAGTATATAGTTCGGGGTTCGATCCCCTGCCAATGAACTTGTAAACCTCGCTTAGATGGTAAAAGGGGAGTTTGAGCGTGAGACTAGCATGCCCACCCCGTGAAAATAAACACTACTGCTACCGAAACTTCAAACGCTCTAGTCTAAAGCCACTGGGGACGTAAGGAAAGAAAATAAATAAATACACAATTGTATTGACCTGTATTGTAATAATTCAGGCTATCTTACCTCCTTTTAAAATGTGTATGGATACAAGTAAGTGTGTGATCAAAATGTCCGAAATGTGTTGCCCAACCTACGCACATTACACATCTCAGATAAACCATATCTTCATAAGAAGATTGTTGAAAAATTATTGCTTGGAATAAAGTGTTTAATATCTTAAAAAACAATGATTCAGAATCAAAGCAACTGATAGATATTTAATTGAATTTTAGATTTTCCCGTCGATTGATTGGACCGAAGTGCTCGGTCTCAGTTTGACATGTCGGCTTCTTGTGCAGATGCTTCGATGATGTCTAGGCATGTAATTAGAAGTTGATTAATGGATGGTGGCTAGCAGTGGAACCCAGGATAACGCGCGTTTCGTCCTATTTGGGACTCGCCAGCTGGATGTACCTGCATTCCACAGTGAGTGGTGATGTTCCCCCCGAGGCTCGAACCCAGTGCCCATAGTTTCAAACGCCAAAGCGTTATCCACTGGACCACTTTGCCATTGGGTTTGAGCCTAGGTTGGAAAATCATCACTCACTGTGGAATGCAGGTACATCCAGCTAACGAGTCCCAACTAGGACGAAATGCGCTTTATCCTGGATTCCACTGCTAGTCACCATCCACCAATTAACAACTGATAAATACTTTATCGTATCAATAGTACATGGGAAAGTAGAACATTTTCAGCTGATTAATTACTCTATTCCTTTATTTCTACTTGCCCAACAAAATAAACTACCCAATACTACCTGTATTTTTATCTTGTTGGATAAATATAGGCCGTGGAATATCTTGTGAAAGCCTTACAGCCAGTTGAGCGACTCATCGAAATTTTGAATTTCTTAGAATTTAGTGTCATTTACATTTCTTATATAATACGACTTGGTGCATAGCTTACTAATCGTGTTTACATTCTGTAGAAGACAATAATTATACAGTGATTTCTGTTAGAAGAGGGAAAAACAAATCGTCTCTTATATTTATATAATATTACCTCATAATCTGCTGGACCAGGTAGTTGTTCTTTTTCAACTTCTTTGAATCTTTCCGATTGAAAAACAAACTTGCCTTTTTGAGATTTACCTTCCGTTATACAATATTCAGCAGGACCTAATAAAAGGAAAAAAATACTTCATAGAAAAGCTTATAATTATTTTCATATAAAGCATAATTATGCATTATGCAGTTCACCTACTGAAGGATGACAGTTCAAGCTGTGTAAATCAAAATCACAATTTGAAAACTGGTTAGCAGTCAGGAATTTACGCCATTCCATGGGTGAAATTACACCGTAGTTTCTTTTGGAAATCATAGTTTTGTGCAAATTTGCTTGCTTTCCTGATTAAACATTTACGGTATCAAGTAGATCACATATTGTGGGTTGATTTGAATAACTTAGTTTCCGAAAGAAACACACACGATCTCCTCCATGTCCCCCTCGAAGTGACGACCCACTCGTCGTTTCCCATTGGGATTCCACTTGAGCTATGGTCTGCATTGTGCGCGATGTCATTCGATGGTCTCCTCAACGTGTGCCTGATCTATCTCCATTTTCTCCTACATATTAGTTGAGAGATCAGCTCTCGCTTGTTGGTTTGTTCTCAGCCAGAGATTTGCTATATTCTTGCTGGCTGGTTATTTGGTCCTCATTATGGAGCCAGTGAAGTTCACAGCTGTTGATGAAAGTCTTCAGTGACCTGTTGGAAATTCTTTTGGTTACATACTAAGTTTCTGGCCCGTATAGAAGCACTGATTGACTTGACATTGGTGTTGAAAATCTGGATCCTGTTCATGGTGTTGGCTGAGTGCAGAAGATTTGCAAACTGGTTTCAGGTTGATGAAAGTGTACGTATCTTGCTTTTCCGACTCTGACTCTGGCATCTTCATCCGTTCCTCCTGCGGTTGATACAATGCTTCCCAGCCGGATGAGTGAAGGAGGTAACCTCTGTCAAACCTCTTCCGTCGATGGTGATTGATGCTGGTTGTTGTTATTGTAGAGCCAGAAGAGGAGAAAATTATCGAAAAGGATATTCTTTGCTCAGTTATTTTGTTTTTTATATTGTTATCACTCACAATTCATCAGTTTATAGTATCTTCTACGTAAAACCTGTACCCCGTCTTTACGTGGTGAGAGTGCTCCTCAAAAACGGAAAAAGGCGAATGCGAACGTCTGGTGCTTACAACCGGATAAGTGGATAAGCTGCCCTATCTCTGTGGGCTAGAATCCCCGGATTTCAAACCTATGGTGTACATTGGCTTCAGGATCTGAAACGGTGGAATGGCGTATGGTCACCAGGAACCATGGAACAACACAGCCTTCATGTCAAATGCTCGGGCTTGGGCCCTCGGGGTAACCACCTGCCTCAGCCTGATCATCCGGCAAGTATCGCAGCAGTTGTACAAACTGAGATTTTGTGTGGAGCATCTCTTGGTGCTCCTAATGTACCAAGTTTGAGTTGTAATATTGATGATAATAATAATATTAGTATACATTCAATGGCATCTATAGATCTAACAGTCAATCTTCACAAGGAGTACTTATCAGTTAAAAGCTCTAACCATACAAAAAAAATTTGAAACTACCTAAACGTTTACTAATTAGCCATTTAATAAAAAAATAAGTGAATTACGAGTTTTAATGAAACAATTAGATTACTTATATATAATATACTATTCGTGTTGAATAAATATAAATTAATCATTACCTACCCGGAATATCGGGATCTTTTGGACATATTACAGAGAATTTACCGAATCTTTCAGCTGTATGCGAGAAACACCCTCTTCTTTGTTTGGCTTCTGCTTTACGCGGTATTGCAGGAACACGCCTGCATTGGGTAATGTCGAATGATTTTCCGAAATCGTAGGTTCCAGGTGGTGGCGCTGACTGAAAATGCCAAGAAAAAAATCAACATTATCTCATGAAATGGAAATCACAAATGAGGAAAACACTTAGGCAATTTAGTTTTAAATGCTTTCAGCATTCATCTTTGCTCAGTTTTCATATCAAGTCAACTAATCTGTCTGTCACTATATAAGTGAATGTTGCTTGTAATTAAATGAAATCTTCACAGTAGCTGGATCTGTCTGTGTGACAAAACAATTCTGTAGATTTCAACTTAACTAAAACAAAAACAAAAAATGAGTCTTTTTTGAAACGATTCACAGTGTCTCACAAAATACAGCGATTAATTTATCACCTTTAAACCTAATACGCTGAAAACTGTCACCACAGGTAATTTATTTGACCAGCTAGCGTGTAAAGATGAACACCACCGGGGATTATTATCTATGCGAAAACTCGGCTTTAATAATGATTCAGGGTAGAAACACTGAAAGGTACCTAGCAAACAGATAATGGACATGGGATTCAGTAGTTAAGTAATTTCTTTCTGGAATTATGAGAAGAAAATAAAGGAACACTTAAGGCTATTTCAAGTATTGGTTTGTGGGGATTTGATTTATCGGTTACAGGATTTAATCATGAGCTGACATCGGTTAGAAAACCATTGGAAAACCAACTGCGAGTACTGGATAGCCGTTTCATCAACTAGTTTGGGAATCTTCAGCGGTAAGGGTCCAAACACAAAACCTTCTGGTTACAAGGCGAGCTAGCTCGCAGACCATTAAACCATTAGGAACCAAACCGATCCAATGGCCAGTCCATGAATTCCAACTTCTGCCTATTCACGACATAACGCAACCACCAGCCAATGTCTTCGGTGAGTATTTGTCCTCACACCCAACCTGCTGTACCATACTGGTGACGATTTCCCACTAGAACCCCAGCTAACTAACTAGCTGAATAGGTCACTAGCTAGTGAGCATCTCACTGATATTCAAGTATTGGTTTGTAGGGATTTGATTGATTGGTTACAGGATTTCATCATGAGCTGACATCGGTTTGAGAACCATTGGAAAACTTGGGAGTACTGGACAGGGTGCAGCAGGTCGGGTGTGAGGACAAATACTCGCAGAAGACATTAGCTAGCGGTAGCACTATGTGGTGAACTTAAGGCTGTAGTTTCAGAAGTAGTTTCCTCTGCTAATCATTGTGACTAAACATGAAATCTAATATTATTGTCATTATATTATTATTTCCTTTAATTCCTAGAGGAACATAGGGCTTCAGCCATGCGTCCCCATTGCGTTCGGTTCTCTGCTAGAATCTTCACCTAGCTCCAAGTCTGCCCACACGTTTTCATCTCCTCTTCACATGACCTCCTCCAAGTCACCCACCCTCGCACTGACGACCAACTCGCCGCTTCCCTTTCAGGTACCACTCGAGCAATGGCTTGTCTAGTGATGTCACTTGATGGTTCCTTTGCTCAGAGTATGGCCTGCAATCCATCTCCATTTCTTCCTACCTATTTGTTTCACAATCGGTTCCTGGTTGGTTCGCTCATTGCCAGAGATCTCTGTTGCTGATCTTTTCTGGCTAGCCATCTGATCTTGAGTATTGAGCGAAAACAACTGTTAATGAAGGTCTGTAGTTTGTTTGAGATGCTCTTTATGACGCGCAATGCAAGTCTCTGATCCGTATAGTAGCACTGACTACACATTGGATGAAATCGATTTATTTTTCATGCTGAGTGATACTGATCTCCACACAGACTTGTGAGTAATGAAAGCTTGCCTTGCTTTGCCGTTTCTTGATTCGATATCCTCGTCAGTTCCGACCGCCTGTAGTTGAAACGATGCTTCCCAGGTACGTAAAGGAGCTGAAAAATTCCGTAAATCATTTTTTTAAAGTGACCAGAAATATGCATTAATATGGTAACGTTTTCTGCAGCATTCAAAATACACTCTTCTGTCTTGGAAAATTGACTTTCGAAAATGAAGCACCTTCTGTTTCTTTACCTTTTCAGATAAAAAATCGCTGGCAGCTTTTTGGTAATCATGTTTTGCATTCCACGTAGAACATGGGGCTTCAACCTTACTCTTTGAAGTTATATTGGCGGTAGCACTGGTTTTTCCGGTGTAAAGTTGCTGGCTTCACACCCTGCCTTTCCACATTCTCGGGCTTGCAGTCGCCCAATTTCAGATTTACGAGTGAGTCGGACGGGAATCGAACCCTTAACAATGTGCGTGATTGGTAATCGAGCATTCTACTTCTGAACCACTAACGATATCAGGATCTTTGATCAGCATGCAGCATAAGAAAATGTGCACAGCCAGAGCACTTTATATAGAAAAGTCAATAACAAAAAAGAGAAGAAGAAGAAACTGACAAACGCATAAAATGCCTTACTGATAAGATCACTGAAGTTTCTCGTTTAGCCTTTGGCAAACCAGTACCTTTAAGCGAACACTTTTCATCGTATCTCTTGGGACTATATTGAGCAGGCCCTGGAAGACTGTTGTCCGGTGCTGTTGTTTTTGTGCTAGAGGCAAAATTATCGCCCAGTCGTTTAGCTGTTGATCCAAATGCAACGCCTTTACTAGCTTGTACATCAATGTGCGGATGTGTTAGCGATTCTTTTATTACATAACTATTTGGAGCTAAATATAAAAAATTAAAAAGTAAAAACAGTATTAACAGAAAATTTACTCAAATATCAAAAGTCAACAAACTAAAGAGATATTTTTGGATACAGGCATACAGTGGCTTGAAACAGCATTTACTGTAAATTGGTAAATGCTGACTAGCAGTGGAATCCAGGATGCGCATTTTGTCCCATTTGGATGTGCCTGCATTCCGCAGGGAGTGATGATGTATCCAACGAGGCTCGAACCCAGTGCCCATAGTTTCAAATCCCAAAGCGTTGTCCACGAGACCACTAGGGCCAGAAGAGAGCCACCTCTTGTGCAACGGGTCATATTAATTATTTAATTCAATTTTAGATTTTCCCGTGGATTGATTGGACCGAAGTGCTTCGTCTCAGGTTGACATGTGGACCTTCCGGTTAAAAGACAATCTGGCTCGTATACCACTCAGCCACTGGGACCCGATTCAATGGCTCATGAATTCTAACTTTTACCAATTCGTGATTTAGCGCGACCCCAACCCAGTGGGTGCTTACTGCCGATGATTCCCAAACTAGGATGAAACAGCAACTGTCCAGTATTCCCTGGTTTTCAATGGTTCTCTAACTGATATCAATCCGTGATCAACTCGTAAAAACATAACTAACCCTTACAAACCAAACTATAGAAAATATCCTTTTCGATAATTTCCTTTTCTGGCTCTACAATTATGTATTTGTTCATTTACAAAGAATATTCTAGAATTGTCGTCATTAGCAGCATTGGTTTTTTTAAAACTAATATCGATTTGTAAATTAAGATCAATAGAATTACAGTTCATTAAAGATACAGATAACCAGGTGCAATTTTTTTAAATACTGTTGAAGCACTTTCTTCTCGGAATGCAGCAGACAAGAAATAAATAAATAAATAATAATAATGGTAATGATGGGTGTTTAATCTATTAGTGAGTTTGTAAATATATATGCTATTGGACTCGAATATAGGTCTGTCTAAATGGGTCAGACGAAATATGCATATATGCAGATAGATCTCCAATATTCAGTGAATTTACTGAATAAAGACTGTGTCGGACTGATATCAATTAAGGAGCCATTGAAAACCAGGGAATATTGAAGAGCTGTGTCGTCAGTCCAGTCTGCGACCCATCAGCAATACGGACGCCGAATTTCCCAGTTACAAGGCAAACTTGTAGACCCCTTAGCCACTGGGACCAGATTAAGAGGCCAAACCATGAATTCTAACTTTCCCCAATTCATGATGTTAACAAGAAGTGTATCAGAAGTCCGCATGATATGGAGTAATAGACTGGAGGGACTTTATTCACTCAAAAATTGTGAGTTTACCAGAGGCTTTTAGCGTTATAATCGACCCACAAAATAAGTCTAAAACATAGGCAAACATGTAATGTATACATTTTTATTCTTTATCACTATACCACGTCCATTTTAGTCAACAAGATTATTTCGTTTAGCTAACAAGAGGTACCTAATTATTGAGGTAGGCAATCGAATTTGATTTACCATGACATTTGTCAATTTGCTGATAATCTGGAATGCACAAAAAGATCATTTTGTACACTTTTCACAATAAGGTGGTGGAATTGTAGAGTGTAGTGGAGGCCGAAGGATCCTTTATGTAACAACTTCTCGGATTGTCCGTCCGACTCAAAGAAATGTTGAGTCATTTGACTAAGCTTAGATTCACACTAGAGGTATATGCCAAAATTTGCGACAGTACAGTTGGTCCTTGACTAATTTAAGGATTACAGGAAAAGAAGCATTTAACTATTGGTACTATTAAACACTCGGATTTATCATTTATTGAAAATCCCCATTGAGTCATATGAAAAAGAGAAGACGTTCAGCGAAGAGACTCTTTTCGGCGAATTCATTCACATACCTGTACAATCGCATTTATTTTTAATTATTTGTGTGTGTGTGTGTACATGAGGTTTGTCAAGTTTAGATAATTGATCAGGTAAGACAAGAATGACCTAATATAGAAACAAGGTTAATTAGACAGCAACTAAAGTAAGATTGAGCTAGTAAGTTAGATGACGTAATATAATTGACTTAAATGTTTCGACTTAGAACTGAAATTGAGCAAATAAGTTGGATGAAGTAACATAAATGACTAGAAATTGAGCGTTGGTTAAGTCAGGAACAGTGGTAATGAGGTGAAGAAATTAAATCGGGTGGGGGTAGAGAACAGTAAGGTTGAAAATAACAATACTAATGAAGAGATAGAAAAAAAAGATTAGGTAGAATTTACTTATCGGGTAATAAGTTGGATTACATCCATTGCAAGTGTATTGATTGAACAAACTTCTTCTGTATGCAGAGTTGAGGACTTAGCAAGTGAATCACCATTGCTTCTGCAGTTTGAAGAAGTCTGATTCATACACGTTTACGAAGACTAATTCAACTTACTTTAGTTGCTGTCTAATTAACCTTGTTTCTATATTAGATCATTCTTGTATTAACTAATCAATTATCTAAACTTGACAAACCTCATGTACACACACACACACACACAAATAATTATATATAAATGCGATTGTACAGCTATGTGAATCAATTCGCTGAAAAGAGTCTCTTCACTGAACGTCTTCTCTTCTTCATAATCATTTATTTCATTGGAAGCAAAGATTATTGCTGATTAGGTCACAGCATTTATTCATTCAGGCTGATTTCAAAGGAGAAATCTACAGACTGTAATCCACAGTGACCGAAGATCCAGCGAGTTTTAATGAAATAACAAACGATCCTCAAGTGAGCAGAATTACATTTACAAACAGAATAAACATCCACATTAAATTAAGAAAAGATTTGGTGATGTTATTGTGACAAAAGACTGGTTAATCCATGTTTTGGAATTGTAGTATACACTGGCGTTTTGCTCTGTTAATACTATGTTAGTAAGTTATCTTACTCTAATCCTTAGAAGTGATTGCCTAAAATAATTGATGTAGAATCACTACCAGTAGAGGATATTCCTTAGTGTACATTAGGCAGCTACAGAAACGCCTTGTTCAAAATCCACCTTTCATTAGACGTTAATTCACTTTGCACCAACAGACACAATAATATATATATATATATATGTTTCCTATTCCACCTACTAAATGGCTACATGACGGCATTCTGTCAAGATTGTCACTTAATCATCCTTCAAATGTGAATGTCAGGCCCAAGAATTCACACCACCACGAGAATCGTTGAAGGGCATAGTTTTAGAGCAACAAGGAGCATAGATAGGCATTTTGAATTTCAGATCATTCTTACTAATGGCTTTCAACAAATATACAACTTCTGTCTAGAAACTGGTATCCGGACGTAGGCATGCAGTTAATATTATTACACTATATAGACTTTTACATAATCAGAGCTAGTTTTCTAAAACTCTGAAGCTTAATCATCTTAAAAACGCCAATGCACCAAGTGCATGCACTTCTCAACGGCTTGTTTTAATTATCTTCTAATTGTAGTAAGCAAATGAAGAAGTGAGTTGTTGTCTAATTTTTAGAAGCAAAAAGCAATGTGATCGACTTTTTCTTTGATTTCTCGTACATTTAATTGTAATTTAGTGGGAATTCAGAAAATTTTCATGTTTGTAAGAATGTGAAAAAGCAGATATTCAAAGGGGTTAAATTCACTTCACCCATATGACTGAATATTTAATTGCAGTAACCAACATAGGGACGAAATTCACGTCAAACTACCATGACCTGTTTGTATTTACGGACATAAAATTGTAGAAGACGACTTGTTTCGACTGACTGAATGAGGTAAATCCCCTTATTTCACTGAGATTCTAAAATACTACTTCACTTCAAAAACCAACTTTATTCTGCTGATTGTCACTATACTAAGTTGTATCAAAGACTCTTGTAGCAAAATTACATCAGCATCTGTCTGTCTGTCTCTCTGGATTCAACATAGAACTTGGCACTGAAGTGCAGCAGTTCCAGTTGCCACGTTCCAAAGAGCACATAAAGGTAGACAAGAAAATGAGTGAAGAGAATCAATAGAGTTCTGACAAGTATAAGAATGAAACAGAATGAGTAGTGGTAGAAAGGAATATGAAAGATTACAGAGACTGAATACATCTGCGTATGCCAATGACAACGATTTTGAGCCATGTCACCTATTGTCTCCAGCCATTGATTCTTAGAGTCCCGAGGGCGGGCCCCAACCCGGAAGTCTGCATCTCCCTACCTGACTCAGTTTAACTGTCAAGGATTTCATGGATTGATGAGGCCATGTTTTTGTTTGGCCACCACTTACTCTTTTCCAACCTGCACCTGTATCAGCTAGTAATGCCCGTTCGTTGGGGGAGGCGATGGTTAGGCATGCGCAGTACGTCACCTAGCCATCTCAATCTATCTAACTTTATAGCCGTTTCGATTGATTTTCCCTCTTTGCCCAACACTCTACGCCTAACGTCAACATTACTTACTTTATTATACCACCTAACGTGAGAAAGAGATCGTAGACATCTATGATCAAAAACAGACAATCTTTTCATGTCTTCCGCTCTCAATGGCCACGTCTCACCGCCATAGAGAAGGACGGAGCGAACTGCTGAGCAGTACACACGTCCCTTGGTTGATAGCCGGATGTCACGCCTACTCCAGAGATGGCGTAAGTTAGCGAAAGTTAGCAGCTCGAGCTTTTTGGATCCGTGTTGAGATTTCGTCGCCAATCAGTCCGTCGGTGCTGATACAACTTCCCAAATAGGTGAAGAGGTCACTAAGCTAGTTGATGTAGTCCAGTCATTCCTGCAGCAGCATCTTACATCTTACAGGGGCGAATCGCATGCCAAACATACGAAGATTGATTGAGTTTCCACATAGAGCCTAGCACAGAAGTCACCACATTCCATTTTGGGACACACTGGTAGAATAGCAACATGAAATCAAACATTGGGTTATAATTGACATGGAAGATCATAAAGACTGAACACTCCTGAGCCAACAGCCTTCAGCCAATGACTCTTAGCATCCCAAAGAC